CCCCCCCCCCCCCCCCCCCCCCCCCCCCCCCCCCCCCCCCCCCCCCCCCACAGGAGTGTTTTAGTATTTATATGATTACTATTTACATTCGAGTAGTTGCTGCGTACTCTGGTGTAACATTGCGACTACGTCATAGTCACGATACGAGTGCATTCACCGGAGGTCCGAAAAAACCCTGATTTGTCGTGTTGCTCCTCTAGCGGAGATCTTATCTGGATGATCTTTAACCATTGTGCTACCCTATTAGCATTTAAGTCGGATATATAAACGCTTAAGCTTGCATCAACATAAAGCCCTGCTCCCCATGCTATCTGATTTGCTGCAGTACCCTGATTATTGCCCCCTGCAACAAGGCATTGTTCAGCAACTGACGTTATCCTTTTCTTACTTTTTACGCATTCCTATCTGCTTCAACGTCAGTTTCGCAGATGTCCATTCACTTAAACATAATTTTATACACACAAATCCTGCTATTTTCTCCAATATATTAATAAATCTGTAGAAAGGATCATTCCAATTTTGTATTTTGTGTTCATTGATGTATGAACTCTCATCAATTTGACACTGCAAGTTGACCGACGTAGCTCAATACTTACATTATATAGAAAAATTATAATTTTTGAGGAGGGATCGTTGATTATAAGATAGCTCAGCATTGAGAAAAGACGTGAATGCATTTGTTTAAGGTTAAAAGAAAGCGTGAGATAAAACTGTAGGAAAACAAGCAGAAAAAGCCCTGACAAACAGAAGCTGAAGACTGTGAAACAAAAAGCAAAGTATAGTACGCTTTTTTGTAACCGTTTCGGAATTTCTTCTCGTACGGTGATAAGCAAAAGAGAATTTCCTCGCTGCTGGAGATAATGTGATTTATGAACGGGCACTAAGTGTACCGTTTGTTGCATTTGCTGCCCATTTCATTACTCGGAAATTTCCAGTGTCAGAAATGAAAACACTTCCATCACTAGTTACATAGACCCCATATGGGGTATTTAAGCGATTATAAGCCGTCGAAGAAAGGCTAGTGGCACCACATATCGTGGTCCCATTGAGAGAGCCAGATGAATAATACTGTATTCGATGATTATTCGTGTCTGCTATGTAAATATTTTGATTTGAATCAACGTACAAGAAACGTGGATTTGTTAATAATGATGACGTTGTACCACTTGTTCCCGCGCTACTACCAGCCACGGTCGTACCATTGCCGCTCGTAACATTAAGTAACCAACGCTGAATTCGATTGTTACTTGAATCAGCAATATACATGACATTTTGTGAATCAATAAATACGTCGTACGGAAAGTTTAACAGGTTGGCTGCAGCGCCCGACGTACTCGTAACACCAGCTACAGTGATACCAGTTGTATTCCAACGAAAAGTACCTAAATAAATAGAGATCCGTCTTTTCAGTTGAACAAAAGCACGATCGTAATAACACATACACGAATTGACAGCAGTTGTCGTCGATGTTGTTACTGCAAAAAAGAAAATGATCCTAAGAAATCAAAAGCTTTTAAACAAATATTTAGTACCTGTCGTCGATGTCGTTGTACTCGTGCTACTAGTTCTCGACGTAGTTGTCGCCGATGTCGTTGTACTCGTGCTACTGGTTGTCGACGTAGTTGTCGCCGATGTCGTTGTACTCGTGCTACTGGTTGTCGACGTAGTTGTCGCCGATGTCGTTGTACTCGTGCTACTGGTTACCGACGTGGTTGAACTGAAGAGATAAATAAAATTAGCTTTATAGTAGGAAAAAGATTTTGTTGAAAATATAACGTACAAAAGAACAGACAGTTTTATCAATTATTGGCTTTAAAAATTTGCTTTTCTGAAGAGGCAGAGATAAATTTTGTAAGTAAATTGTCAGATCGTCACCGGTGTCGCTCTAAAACGTCTTAGCGAAGGTCCAGTAAATCTTTTTTGATGCCGTTCTGTCGATGCCCAAACAGTATGAAGCACTGAGTTGAACCACGTTTAACTAAATTTTTCTTTTTGGAAAATATGTTTTTGGTATTTTAAGAAAGTCACATTGGATATCTATAGGAAAAACTCTAGTTTTTATCAAAATCTTAGCAAAAATCTGAAGAAAGGAGCTGTTTTGCTTTAAAATTGAAGATGCGTATTAGTAACAAGCTACGTGATCTAGCGAGGGAGCCTTCCCAGACGTCCGTTTTCGACGATTTCATGTAAATTGACAGAGAAAGTGTCCTAGTTAAAACCCAAAATGACTTGTCCCCACGGTACTTCTTTCAAGAGTTATGAAATTTTTTGTTTCGCTGGGAAAAAAGATACAAAAAAGGTCAGTCCACAATCTTACCAAACTATTACGATGATGGAGTAACTGTTATTCACATAGAGAATTAAACATATCACAGAAACAAACAGATTAAATAAATTATAGATAGAGAGTGAGAAGATAGCTTGTCAATTAGGAAACATTAGCAGACCCACATATGATTAATCATAGCAAAAGAAAAATGAATGATCGGGAAACCTTGGTTTTCCCTAAAAACAAAGAAAATTCAATAGATTATTTCTAAAGAGGCTGAAATGCTGATTCTTTCTATGATGTTACTAGACTAATCGAACAATCATAGAAAAAATTTTCATTTCAAAATCTGCTGCTCTTATCGAGCTACAAGAGTTTTAACATTATGTTCAGTTCCTCTAATATCCAGAAGAACTGCAGCTTCCAAAATCAAGAGTCAAAATCAAAATCCGTGACTAAATGATGGACCACGTAGCCAGAAATTACAGTCGAATATGCGAATATTCGACAATTTTGTGTACGGTAACTATGAAACTTTCAAAACGAAAGAACAGACAATTTAGTATTATAGTTTATTCCTTCTTCAGTTTCTTCCTTTATTTTTTTAATGCACATACATTTATTCGTATTTTGAAACTGCTTCTGTCTTGAAAATGATGTAAGAAACTTCGAAACGTCGACATGAGAATAATTTAATAATAAAATTATGTCAAAGTTCAGAGCTGCTGTTAATATACTAAGATTTATCTTCAAAATTTTACCCATACAAAAGCACAGCTACAAGAATTTTAGTGTTTTCGTACCTGTTTTCTCAGAGAATCAAAAAATTCATAACTATTGAAAAGAAGTGCTATGGATATAAATCCTTTTAGAATTTTAATCAGAACACTTTCCTCTATCTACTGGCAAGATCATTGAAAACGGAGTTTGACACCTGGGAGGGTTCCCTCGTTAGTGCTTTATCGAAATTGCTATAAACTACAAAAGCAATTCTAACGCCGGTGAAGCATTCCTAAGAAATTTTATTCTCGATAAAACTGAACTTACGTAGAAGTACTGCTCGATGTACTCGTGGTTGCTAAATGAGAAGAAACAAATTCTTTTTATTTTTTATTTTAACTGCGAGTTAGTTTCAATCGAAGAGTAAAAAGAAAAGACCCTGACTTTACAATTTGTTGGCGAGAAATATTTTTACACACAGGTGTATTCTGTCATTCTCTTTTCATTCACTACTCTGTTTAATGTTACAGTGCATTTCAAAAGTATCATATTCCCTTTAACGCACAACAGTAACTTGTAACTTTGTTTAAAGATTAAAGATTAAAAATGCTGATTATCTGCAAGGTTTCAGCGTTATTGCAGAGGAGCTGTGCGAATTCTACAGTGCAGCCTGTCCGACTAACGGTATCCTGCGAATGACAAAAGTTCGACAATCTAATTTGATGAAGTGGACTACGCCATTTTATAGAGGAGAGCCTGTTACATTGGGAACAGTATGTTTTGCTGTCGTTGGGCTCATAGTGTAGTTTTATCAAACCCGAAACTACTCTCTCCGATAACTACCACTTTAGCCGTCCATCACATATTTTACTGTACGTGCTATTTGATGACATAGATCTTTATTTTCAGTTATCTGTAGATTCTTACCGACAATACCTATCACTTCTTGAGTCATAATACCGATATGAAGGATAATCGAGACAAAAGAAAAAAATTTAATCTTTTTAGTTCAACAATTCAGCGCAACAAACTGTTTTTTAATTTGAAAAAAAGTTATTTTATTAGAGAGCAATGGCTTACAGGTAGCTGATGTTGATAAAGAAGTAGAACTAGTTGTTGCTATATTAAAAAAGACATGAAAATTATATTCTACCGACAGGTTTTTCAATTTAATTTTAAATCTGGACGTACATGTGTTACTCAGGTTGATGATGTCGATGCTGGTGCAAGACAAAGAGACTGAAAAAGGTTATTCACTAGATCTCACGTCAGTTTCTAAGCAGATTAATGTCTTTTTCGTGTTGAATACCAAGTGAAAAGTCCTCTACAGAAACTCTGTGAAAAGCAGAAATATCTTAGAAGGGAAACTGAGTGTATTCACATTTGTTGCTGAATTTTAATTGGATTGACTATTGCTACAGTTTTCGCTTGCCGGGTTTAACACTGAAATATATCAGAATATGGATATATAATGGTTATTCTATGTAACAGTTTCCGCTTAATTGGAGATCAAAGTCTCGATCCCATAAAAATAATTAATGGCATGTCAGTCAGCTTAGGGTGATCACCTGTCGAAATGGTGTAGAAAAGTTGTACTGCCGAAAAATTACGTCTACAAGGTAAGTAATTTTAATCAGTTGGAAAACGGCTATTGAACATAAGAAGAATTAATTTCATAACTAGAAAATTTTTTCTCAAACGATCCAAATTTTTGAAACCAATAATGAATCTTACTAGAAGTTGATATAGCTACGATGCTAGTTGTGACACTAGTTAGGCTTGATGCTGATGCTAAAACAGAAAGAGAAAGCTAATAGAACAAGTTGTATAATCAATTATTTGAATATTTAAATTACATAATATGGATGTGGTAGAAAGTGTTGTTCCATTAACTGTCGTTGTTGTAGCACTGCTTGTCGTTGTTGTTGATGTTGTTGTGACGCTTGTTGTACTACTGGTAGACGTACTTGAGGTAGAAGATGTTCCTACACAATTAGACATATGAAAATATAAGACAATATTTCTAATTAACGTTAAAGGAGGAGAACTTTCATTAGAAATCTATCCCCCTGTCTAAAACCAGTCTTTTGACATAGGACTGTAGAAATTTTAGTTTTGAGTACGAGTGACAAAAGCTATATTTGACATAAAGATTTAACCAACTTTGTCTTCTTTGACACCTAGTCGTTGGAACTAAATAAAGTTTTTCTTGCTGAAAAACGAGAAAGAGAAATGTCGCTTTTTTTTGTCTTGTTCAACAGATCTCGTCGATTTGAATATAGAATCATCAAACATTTTGACGACAAAAAATGTATCAAGCTTTAATTGCTTAATTTTTTTCATAAAGTTTTGATTTGATCCGAACTAGAATGCATGGCGTTGATATCGCATGAGTATTGTTACAAAATCATGCGAAATAAAGATTCGTCTTCATAGTGCTGCAAGGCAAAAAGCTCCAGATTTTTCTGGTATTTTGCACTTTGTTACTATCAATATTCAACTTTTTTTCAAAAATAATGACAGATTCGAATTCTATTCGAATTACTATCGAAAACTCAGTCGCACGATGGGTGTTAAAGTTTTTTTATTTTCTAACGCAATTTTAGATTTTTTCACCATAAATGAAATGTGAAAAAAACTTTATATTTCAATTATCAATTAGAAAACATGTTATTTCAATTTAGATGGTAGGGGCGTCAAATATGGTAAAATCTGACTGACTTTTCATCTGATAAACTAATGTTTGAAAGTTAAAAAATATCCAATATTATGTACAATGAAATTCTCTATTGGGCTACGTCCAAAAATCTAAACTAGTTTTGAAGAAAAGCTGATATTTGTTGAAAGTCCGTCTCCTTTTCTAAAGCTTTTAGTCTTAAAATGAAAAATATAATACTTGATGTACTAGTCGTTGCGCTCGTGGAAGTTGTTGTCGTCGACGTTGTAGTTGTTGCTAAAATGAACTAATTTATAATGAACTTTGTTTCCAAATGAGTATGTAACAATAGTAGTTGTAGAATCTGGCTGCGGTTTTTGTGCGAACTTCTAAAAAGTTATGTGGCGTAGCTCTCGCTAAGTTTATTTTAGTGTAGCTATCAAAATATATACAGTCAGCTAACATGATGCTAACGAGAAAACTTGACGTGTTGATATTTAAGCTCTTTTACTTTTAGTTTCTTTTCTGATTAGTTTTCATTATGAAAATAAAATAACTAGGTGATTTTATCTATTTTTTTTCGCTTATTCATGTTGAATCCGAAATGTTTGTAGACGCGAACAGTTAAAGTAGTAAATATTTATGACTCATTTTTCATTTATTATTTTTTTCTGCTTTTATTTAATAGTGGAGATCTCAGAAGACAAATACATTTGAAAGACAAAAATTTAAAGCTACAATCCAAATCAATTTCGTGAACGTTGCTGGAAAATCTAAGCATCGAAACTAAAATCGAAGGTTTTATTTCTCGTATAAATTCATTTCTGGCACCGTTAGAGATCTGTCGTACAAACCTTTTTTGATCTAGAGTGTCCGCCAGTAAAATATTGTTTTAAAGAAAATAGATTTCATTAAAAATTCTTCACATTTTGATCCTAGGGATCCCAGGAAATTGACTTCTCATATAACCCTGGAAATCCAGTAAAATTCATATAATTTCCAACGCTGATTTCCCTTGAAAAGTCGATTTTGAACAACTTTGACTTTTTTCGACGTCTTTAAATGATTAAAAACCGAAAATATCACTTTAAAATGATATTCAAGAAACACTATGAAACACATATTATTCAGTTTTATGTTTATTGCGAACATCACCTTGGTTTTGCATGAAAGTGAAGTTTGCTGATAAAATTGCTAAATACGTATGCCTCAGATTTCGTTGATTTTTGCCACTAATTTAGAAAAAATTCATTTGCTTAGGAAAAAAATAAATATTTCCCAAAGCCGGCATAGACTTTTTTCCCACAGGAATTCTGATTAGAACAGTACAGGAACGAATGTTTAGTCTTCTAATGGGAAAAAATATATCGATTTATGGGTCCGATCCTTGGATTTTCACGGTTGTGTTCATATTTGTAGCATTTGGAGACCAAGTTCACCCTCAAAAATGTCAAATTTCGTGTTTTCTGCTCAGTTTCGAATAGAGAATCCGAAAAAAATAATTGGCGAATTTTGAAAGAAGACTAAATGTGAATTTTATTTTATGCTTCATTGCTCTAGTGCACTTGTTCTAAGGTGGTGAAAATCATGAAAATCCGTCGTATTGAAACGCATTTTTCACCACCAAATCGAACTCTAAACTCAAAAATAATATGTGCATTAGATTTCTCGTCGTTAGTTCTATCTAGAAATGTAGTTTTTAATTGTCCACATTGCCTCTGTAAGTCTGTTGAGAGCCATCTTTTACAAACATTACGGCACTTATTTGACTTTTGATGATCCCCCAAGCTATTTCTAACTATATTTTTCTCATTTTGTTGATCCCTATGCATATTTTCCTCCCGTGAAGTCGGAACGTGCAACCTCTGCGTGGTATGGGAGATAAACTTAGTGATATCACTAAGGCTAATGCGCGTACGCAGAAACTATCGGGCAGCAGCGATAGTGGATCGCAACGAAGTAACTCGGACTGCGCTGAAG